AAAAAGGAGCATGGCAGCATCACGCCCCTTACCTGAAAATAGAATTCCTTCCCGCTGAAGTCTAGGTACATTTATTACTCCCATAAGTTTAGAAATTGTTCGATTTCAAATGTTTACATTTTTGTGTGCAAGGTCGGTCTATCCCCGAATCTGTGGATTGCTTGTGAATTAGAATTCCAGCCTTATTGCCGAAATGGTGTACGTGTAATAAATAATTTTTATGTTAATATATCCGCTCTCAGTCTTGGAAAAACCTGTCTTCTAAAACAAGTCATCAATTTCTTGTTATCTAATAAGTTCTTTATCAGCTGTGCTTGTTGAGCTCGTTGATAACTTTTCGGGCCTTACATCTTGTCAATACTACTTCATAAATTGGGTCGTAAATCACTCGTCCAGGGACGCTTTCACTACTTTTCTTTTTTTGTACCTGTCTGCTCAATCTTCCATTTACAATTCGCCTGTTCATAATATAATTACTGCCACACCTAAGCGTAGACTAATTATTTCTAAGCACTATTACTACAGGTGTCTCTTGCGTTTGCGAGTTAACAGCCTTTTGGGAAATTGTTTTTGTTACTCAGAATTGACTGCTTTCGCATCTCTAATTGGAAAAACAGCTCAAAAAACACCTGGATTACTTGCAAGTTTAGTCTCTCTAGCTATTGCTGACCGAAGAAGTTACTGCAAAAACATGATCGACTGCAGTACCGGAGTAAATTTTCCGCCATTTCGCCTTGGGCATACTTTACAATTGATTTTTAACCTCCAACATGAATTATAATGAGCCCAAAATCATTTGTATTTTCTGAACTGTCTTGAGAATCCTGTACAGCAAGCGTTCCTAAAATAATCGCGATGAAAGTCCTGTTTGACTGAATCATTTTGTTTCATGTAGTGAATATGTAGCAGAGTCATATTGAGGAGCATATTCGTATGAATCAAATGATATGGTTCTTCTTTACGTGTGACAAGTCAGGAAACAGAGGTAAATGAATTTTTAGCCGAAAGATTATAAAATACGTAAAGCTTTTGTCTGCATTTAGTT